CAAGCGAAAACTGCACGAAAACAACATTTTCTCGCATGACAAGCCCCCGAGGTAACTCCCAAAAAGCGTCGGAAAGTTCCGGAAGCGAGTTCGCGATGTTTTGGTCACATGACTATCAAGAAACCGGGGAACGAGAGGGAAGAGATCTCATGTCCAGTGTTGTAGTCGGGATCCGGAAGTTGGTGGGTAACGCGAAGTCGGCACTGCGCCGACACATAATTTTTCGGGCTTTAAAAACTGAAGTAAATCTAATTCTATCTCAAGAATTTCAAACAAGCAGTGCATCAAAGGTTTTTTATTATTTTATTCCATCAAAGCAATGTTGGAATTACAGTGTTTTGTACCTTTACCGTACTAATACTACAAAAATATTTAGGTGCACCGGTGCACCCACAGTCAAAAATTGGGTGCACCGATCCAGATTTGGGTGCACTAAGGTGCACATGCACCCATTATTTCGATCCCTGCATATACAGTGTATAATAGCAATGAATAATTGTGTATGATGAAATGCTGGTTAGTATGTTAGTAATTATTAGAAATGATGATGAATAAATTGTGAAAGCAGCATGCATGGCATGGAAGAAAAATGGTTAGTCAGGGGGATAAAATGACGAAGGCATGTTATGACATGGTAGGTAAAAACAAAAAAGTCATATTGCACGATACATGTACATGTAGCTTATCTTTGGACTGTCTAAAAGAATTCTTGGCTCACTTGCAAAATAACAAAACATTGAAGGTGTTAACATAAGCAACCATAATACACAATAGCTCATATCCCAGAGTTTGCAACGTCTAAATCTTTTTTCCACCTCTAAAGTGAGAAGCTATATTGTCATAATTATCACACTACAGTATGCATCCACATGATTCAAGTGTTTGTTCTAAAAACAGATTACTATTAGGCCGAGGAAAAAAAATGTTGTGTTTCCTGCTTCAGTAGACTTTGGCAATCTCTAGTGATCTAAGTTATGCAATTTAACAAAGTAAAACTTGTATGACGACAATTATTTTCAATGTCAGTGTTGGGAAACTGATTGTACAACATTTTATCACTCAGGTGTCAGATCATGGAGTTAGAAAAGGTCAATCAGCTTGAAAAATGCATATACCTTGCAGGGATCCTCCCAAAAAAAGTCTAGGGTCGGCAGGTTTTTCTAGAGTCGGTCAGGAAACAGGAAACACAACTTTTTTTCCCCAAGGCCTTAGAAGAAGGATGTCTAACCTCGTGGATGCGCCCTGTAGGCTATCCTTAAGGCAGCAGGGTCTGTGTGGATGCCATCAGCGATCATACCGTAGAACAGGGTCACACCTTTGGGGATCTTGTGGCTCGTCAGCAGCCCAACAATCCCTGGGTCTCTGTGGTGGAACTGTGGATACAAACAGTCATTCATTACTTTGTTTCACTTGACACTGCAAGGATTTTGGACACTGAACAAGACTATTTCCTGAGAGTTGTGAAGGAGGCTATATACATCAGGGCCTATCACCCTTCACTGAACCGCGACGGGGGCCGACATCGTCTACCAGATACCTTTGACCCATTGTTGACATCACACTTCAAAGAAGCCACGTGACAAGCCTCACTGGGTCAGTCTACTGAGGAAGACCAGAGTGATGGTTGAAAGCTCAAGGTGAGAGAGCATTTTGTGTTGGATCCAAATTTCTAACTCAAAACATGTAACTACCAACACAGATGAACTTTCATGATAGCATTTTATCTCTCGGCTTCATCACCAAGCAGGGCTCAAAATTCACTTTTGGGAATAGGTGCACTTCTGCCAATGATGTGCTAATTTTTATCCTTCCTGCCCCCACTCTTTTTACCAACCATCTTGATGTATATAAACCTGTACTTACAGGGCCCATGGCATTGAACAGGTGGGTAATACAGGTGGCACCGGCCTTCACAGCTGCCTCTGCCTGGGACAGGTTAGCTGAGGAATGGCCTGTAGGAACATGCAACAAAATACTTCATCAAGGGAACTGCAACTTCTGAATACCAAATTCAACATAGTGCCAATCTCTCAGTCATGACACTGGCTGTGGGGGTCTCTGCCAGTGGTCAGATAATCACATGATAATGCAGTGCAGTGCTGCGCTGTGCTATGTTGTGCTGTAGCCTGTGCTTTGTTGTGTTGTACTGTGTTGTGCTGTACTGTGTTGTGCTGTACTGTGTTGTGCTGTGTTCTATTGTGTTGTGCTATGTTGTACTATGTTGTGCTGTACTGTGTTGTACCATGTTGTGCTGTGTTCTATTATATTGTGCTATACTGTGTTCTATTGTGTTATGCTATGATGTACTGTGTTGTGCTGTACTGTGTTGTGCTATGTTGTACTGTGTTGTGCTATGCTTATACTGTGTTGTGCTATGTTGTGCTGTACTGTATTGTGCTATGTTTATACTGTGTTGTGCTATGTTTTGCTGTACTGTGTTGTGCTGTGCTGTGTTGTGCTATGTTGTGCTGTGCTGTAATTTGCCATGCTGTATTTTTGCCGTGCTGTGTTGCATTGTGCTGTGCAGGACTCAGTGTTGTTCTGTGCTGTGTTGTGCTGTTGTGTACTGTTATACTGAAGAATCTCACTATTGCCCCAACAAACACAGAGTTACTAAAAGCATGATTTACCCAGGCTACTCCACAGAATACACACCTACGGAAACTCTGATGTTCCTTTTGACCATCTGCTTGATGACATCAGACGAATTCTCCAGCTCAGGTGCCACAGTGAAGAGCTTGACGCCCTCCAGGGTACTGTAAGTGTCCAACACGTCATCCCAGCCCTGATGGAACTTCTTAAGGTACCTCTCTGGATGTGCTCCTTTCTTGTCTTTACTGATGAAGGGCCCCTCAATATGTATTCCTGTATCAGTGGTAGAAATAGATTTTTTTCAATGTTCTGCAATATTGCAGAATGTCACAATGTTGTTCTGCAATTTGGAAATACTTTCTGCAAATATACACTTTTAAGCCCTGACTCAAACCCATACAAAATTTCATGTTGGCAAACATTTTACATGCAATTTGAAAAATAAATGTATAACTAGTACATGTATATCATAAAGTCAGTACGTCGGTGAAGGTTAGACATTCAGGTAATAAGATACACCAAAAAGCAGTTACTCAAGCAACTGGATATGAATAGTCAGACGTTTCAGGTAGCATCCTGGATGAAATGTCTGACTGTTTCCAAAATCATATCCAGTTGCTTGAGTAACTGCTTTTTGGCATAAAGTTAGTAGTAAGCACAAAAGCTTCTAAACAGTATTATTATATAGAAATAATTGAACACCTATCCTGATTTTTTTTCAGTCTGCAAAATTGCAGGTTGCCAAATTTTTCTTCTAGAACATTGAAAATTTCTCTGCAACATGCAGACTGCAGATGGGTATTTCTAACATTAACAACAACTGTCATTAAATTCAGACACTTTATATCAAAATAAGTATTGGTAAAATAATGCTATCTAATTGCAAAGCTTACTCATTTTTATTGCTATCATAAAACTTACCCAATACTCCAGCTCCCTCTGAGCTTCCATCTCTCAACTTTATCCTTGGAAGAATCTGAAAATAAATGGTAAACTTTAAACATAAATTTATCTAAGCTGTGCCTTGTCTTTCTACCAATTTATGACAGTCTGTTACTACAACACTGCTGAATAATTACTAGTATGGTGGGCTTGTAATCTACCAAACTAATTTTTCTTTTTTTTATATTTCAGTCCATACCAAAGGTGGATGAAATATATTGTTTTCCCTCATGTTTATTCTTCTCCTCCTTCTGCCATTTCGTTAAATGGATTCAATTTCTTCATCTTTTGGCCAAATGACATGAAATTTGGTAGAAGGTAGAGTGTCCACAACAAGACATGTTCGCTTTTTTTTGGATACAGGCTTTTAGAATTGTTTTTTTTATTTATTTATTTATTTATTTATCTACCGAGCTAAATGTACAAGTAGCCAGTTGAATTATTTGTTTTACCTGTTTATAAATTTCAGGAGGTGAAGTGACTATAGTTGGACAGAAAGACGTGCATCCATAGGCCAGGAGTCCCTTAGCGACTTTGGACAGTCCCTCTTCAATATTCTCCACGTCTGACGAAAAGTCAACCCCAAATCCACCTGGAAAGGAACACATGCCAAGTTTAATACTGGTAGATGATTGATATACGTTGTGTATACACATTTATGTCATACCTGGGCTTCGATTACGTTCGATACGGGTGTTCCGGCCCGTGTAATAACTAGCGGTACGGCCTGGGGGTTCTTAGCGCGTACAGCCCGGGCTTCCAAATATTCCATAGAACGATTCAAACACGTTTCGCCCTAACCACGTGCACCGCTTTCATTCAAAATTCGGATGTTGGAATTGATGTTGTTGCATTTTTTTGGTTTAGGGACACCAAATTTTCGCTCATTTCCAATTGAAAGGTGTGTTTTCTTGGATGGGTATGACATAAATAAAATACAACACAGTGTATTTTGCATTGTATAAGTGTAGGAGACACTTGGTTTGCTCAGACTTAGTTTGCTGCATGATATAATGACAGGTCTTATTCACAAGAACTCAACAAAACTAATTAAAGCAATTTTTATTTATGTTACAGATTATCAGAAAGCGATTACCATTGATTTGTACATCAATGTATCCTGGTGAGATGAGGAGGTTTTTACAGTCAATCCGCACATCTGCATATCCCTTCTCATCAAAGAACAGCTTCTCTGGGTTGAGAATCTTCCCATCTCTTATCCACAGGTCTTCCCTGAAACAATAAAAACAACACATATACTACTGTAAGTCTACAAATTTCCGCGGTATATTTAGATTCGCGGAATTCGCGGGGACCTTTGTACCGCGAATCTTTTTCCCCGCGGATATGTTTTGCGTAAGTGTGCCCCCCTCCCCACATGCATTCACGACGGCTCACGACGGACCTAGAGTTCAAGCGAAACACGCGATCCACAAATCACCGCAAATCAACTTTATTCTTGGCAAATGTACGTAGTTGAGTACTGTATCAAAATTATTAAAGTTAAACTGTTACTAGTATTATGAGAGACACCGAATCGCGATAGCACTGGCCGTGTCAACCTCGTACCACCGGACAAAAATATTCACCCGGCAGAGCGCCGGCCATGCGTGCGGGCGCTGAAATGCGGGCGCATCGGGGATATCTACAAATATTTTGACGAAAAATATAACTTTTGGTACCTGGGAAATGTTACTTGGTTCTCTTTTGCTGGACTTTTTTTTCTCATTTTGATGGGTAGAAACGCTAGCGTGGCGTAACTACAAGAAGACGACCTTGGGACATTTCCGCATTCATCGAACGCCAAAATCTCACCGAATACGCCATAAATTGCCATAGCAATACATGTCCTCCCGAAAGATTCTTTTCCTTATACATTTCTTCACTAGGTTATCGATGTGTAGTCGTGGAAAATAGCGTTTTAGCGCTTATTTCCGAACAAAGAAAATTGTTTACACGGGCGTCAGATCGATCGAACTTTACCGCCGGCACTGACGAAACAACCAATCAGAGACGCGTAGCGCGGACACGTGAGGCAAGATTTTGCGCCGCGTTTTAGGAGATAAATGCCGCGACACGAACTTTTTTAAAAAAAATATGCACTTTACAAGTTCTTTTTTGAATAGCCAAGGAGAAATCGCGAATCTAAAAATACCGCGGATTGTCCTTTTTCCCGAAACCGCGAACTTTAGGCCCCGCGAATCTAAAGAGACTTACAGTATAAGGTAACATTTGCAAGCAAATGCATAATGTTTACCTTCGCATATGGTTTGCTCTGTTAATTCTTACTCAAACACATTCATGGTGTCAGCAGTCTAAATCCTTCCTGCTATAAAATTGCAACATTATGTAACCCAACACCAGTTACCATGGTGACAGACGTCTGGTTCAGGTCATTGACCTTATTTGTTTGGAGAAGAAGAAGAAGAGGACAAAACTGAGCAAAAACAATATGTTTTCCTTCAGTCAACGTAATAACAATTAACACACATAATTAAACAAGAAATCTGGCTTGAACACCCTATCAATCAAATGTCAAAATCACCTCCCAGCCACCATGCAACTGAAGCTACAGATGCTATAGTATTAGGATAAGCAGAGACACAAATCCACAACTCATCGATCAGGCACCCAAAACAATACTTCTGTACTTCCAATTGGAAATACATCGTCATGTACCAACAAAAAGAGGAATAGCAAAAGCAATTGGTGTGCTTCTTTGAATCATAATGACTGAATCATAAGTTATAACAGATACTTTCATTTTCATATAAGATCTACACTGTTGATCATACACAGTATGACTATGAGTATATGAATAATTGAATGTTCATATAATGGTACAGAAAATAATTGTATTGAATTTCTTACCTTTGAAGTTTCCCATCCTTGAGAATACGACAGTTGTAAAACTGGTAGATGGTTGAAGTAGACCGGTTGGAAGGCATCTCTAGGTATCCATACACCTGTAAATCACAAATCTAACGATTTACTTATGATTTAGTTTTCAAAACTTTTCATACATATCTGGCCTGACACCTGATAATGTGGTTTCAACTCAGCATGTAGATAAGTGACTAGAATATTGACTTTGAAAAATTGGGTTTGGGTTTCCAAGCCCTAAAAACTGCACTGGATGCCTTTTATATAAAAAAAACAAACAAACAATCTCTCCACAACACACTGTCACACCCACCGTAGCACTCCAAGGCCCTCTGCCCTTCACGGCTCTCCCCCTGTCGTCTGGACATTTCCGTTTTAAAGACGATGAGGATTTTTGTCGCGACATATTTTCATCAACAGCTGATCCACAGTTGACATATGACTATCACGAGTTTTGGAGTAGTAGTTAACGCAAGTTTTGCCGGTTAAAATCTAGCAACAAACGGCCGTTTCTCTGCCACGTCCCAAGTCAACTCAAGAAGCAAGCTGTAAATCGATTGCCTTAGACATTATCGATCTATAAGTTACTTATAAACTCACCTTTGACCAGTAAACAAGGTAACTTTGCAGAAGAGCTCGATTTTTTAGTCACTGGAGGCAGCCATGTTGGATTTACACTGCATGACGGGACCGTTTTCTTAAAAGAATTCTGATTGGTTGAAATTCGGCAAGAACTTTCTTCTTGAGAAATGTAGCCAATCATAGCGCTTGTCTCATAGCCACCCACCCACGCATGCTCATAAGTTATTTACGCGGAAACGTTCTTGCAGGAGTTGATCGCAGATTTTGTACCGACTTGTACCGCAGAAGTTTGGTTTGGAAACAGATCGTCATGGTCAACATAGGCCGGCTGTATTCCCGCATCCGCTTCCCGCTACTCTTCACCCTCTCTCTTGGATCTGGGTATCTTTTCTACAGGTAAAGTGTCGACCTCCTGAGCTGAGATCTTGAAGTTGAGTCCGGAAATATAGAAAAGGGGCTTGGTTGAGTTCAACCAGTACTTGAGCTCAATAAATTTTAGAGTAGAGTGCTGAGCAGAGAATAAAAGAAGTTCAGGTGTTTGCGTGGTTCGGAGAGGTAAAACTAAATGATAATTCACAAGAGTTTTGCAATAGTTTTTATGTAATTCGCATACTTCTACCACGGAGTTAAAAATTTTAACTCCATGCTTTTACACTGAAGGAAGTTCCAAAAACGTGGCAAAATTATGTCGAAAATATGATAATTTGTTGTTGTTGTTGTTTAACGTCTAATATATATCGCTAGACGTGGTCTGTTGGTGCTGGTTTACGCTCAAAGTTCAGTTCAAAGTCTCTCCTGATGACTTGTGTTGTGATGGTGGAAGTGTTTCTAGGAGGCGCTTCTAGGAGAGCACGTCGAATCGGAAAATAATTTTATGCACCCCCACTGTGAGAAAGTTACGCTCCCCTTTTTCCCGCCCCCCAACGCCGCGACCTTTGCTCCCAGACATCATGATGTAATCACAATAATTTATGTTAACCAGAGCGGCAAAGATGTGACAACAACTAAGCGTTTGTATAGTCCCACCCACTGTGCCGGCCGCCAGAACAATACGCAGTCAGGTAATCTTGAAATAGGTCAGAAACTTTTGAACAATTGTGGGGGCCCGCATGTCCTTTTCTGTAGAGCATAATGGGCCGTTTGAATTCTACGTAGAGCGTAGATGGACCGCTCTAATTCAACGTAGAGCGTAATTGGCGCATTTTGCGTAGAGCGTATTAGCTGTTTTAACTCTAAGGCCCGATTTAGACTAGAAACGGTATACCGTTTCGAAACGGTACGAAACGTTTCGCCACAGAAAACGGTTCGTCTTTAGACACAGAGGCGGAAGCGTTTCGGGCCGCCCGTGGCGCAGGATGTTTCTGACCCACAGTGACCTATGATGACCTCCCCAAACCACTTCTACGGTTTGCCTCATTGGCCTTATGATACTTGTGTTTCAGGGCCTTGAACTTCGCCCGAACCTGCTTTGGGGTGCGTAAATACCCCTCAGCCGCCAGCCCGTCCACAAGCATCTGTATGCCCTTTCTATTACGCGAGGTCTCCAAGCGGGATTGTATAGTTTGATCGGCCCACAAGCTGATCAAGCAGCGGCTCTCTTCTTGGGTCCATACCCTCCCCTGGCCTTCTGCCATCCCCCCAGACATAAAGGATGACGAAAATTTGAGAAATACATGATATAAAATGGCGAAAATGGACACAATCGAATATGGCGCGAATCTACCAGAAAATGGACGCGCGTGGGCTTATTAGCATGTGATTAGCATATGACACGTGACCTGGTTTACCGTTTCAAGAAACCCTTTGACTTTAGACCTAGCAAAAAGCGTTTCGGGCCCCCCGCTGAAGGGTTCTGAAACGGTCGAAAACCACGATGGAGGTGGTTTTCAGAAACGGTCCGCGAAAACCCATAACAAACCGTTTTTTCCTCTTTAGACCGGGAACGGTTAACCGTTCCGAAACGTTTCCCTGGCCAAAACCCCTTAAGCGTTTCTAGTCTAAATCGGGCCTAAATAATGCGTTGGAGCCACTTGGAATTTATCTCTTTAAAGCGTAATCGAGAGGTTTCCGAATTCAGCGTGGAGCGTTGTGGGGACCCCCCCATGCAGGCCCTCAATTGTGTGCCGCACCTGATGCCAGGATGAACCATACTTCCGGGTTAAATATAGAACAGGTGTGATGCACTGATATATCAGGTGTTGAACTTTCAAGTTTGTTGTTCAGTGAGTAAGTTAAAGGGTCACTTGAGTTAGACCAAAACCTTCTTGTTTAGACTGACGACGGTATATTTTAGTTGCACGACAATTGTTGTGAGTGACAGCTTTCTTTAGACACACGGCAGGGCTTGAAATACCCATGTGCAATATGCAAAATGCACATGATTTTCAAGATTTGCTCTTAAAAAATGGTTACGTTGCAGGCAAAAATGCAAAGATTAACCATATGTTATTTTTACAAGCAGTATTTTACTTAAAATTAACATATCGTGCACAATAATCAAGGGAAACAAATATGCAAAATAGAAATAATTTATTGCTCTCAGACTGTTGGTAAATTTTCTTTATTTTCCTATTTGATGGAAAAAAAATGTCAGCCTAAAGACAGCCTTCTTGGCACATTATTATAATAATAATAATGTGATGTTGCATGCTGTTTTGTTACAAGGTGGTTTGGAGTATAATAATAGATTGCAAGCCTCCTTGGCTAAGTCTGCATGGTAAGGCCATGTTGATTTGATTATGTGGATGACATCCGTGCGCACATGAATTTTCGTCCATTTAAAAAAAAAAGAAAGTTTTCAACCCATACCGTAAATCGCTCAAAACAGTTGCAAAATTAGCAAATCTATACCGTAAGTTGCAAAAAAAAAAATATTGGATTGGAAAATGATACTAATGTCGTAGAATGCCAAAATCAAACGAAAAAGACGAAAATGTAAAGAAATTGATTTGAAGAGTAGATTATTCGCCATTCCATACTCTGTGTCATCTGTTCAACCTTCGTGACCACGTAGATTTCATAATGAAAGCAACTTTTTTTGCCTAACTTTTTTTTATTCGCACGCTCGCATCAGTTTTGGGCTTCCCAGAGGATGTTATCCATATAATCAAATCAACATGGCCTAACATGTAAACATGGCAACTGCATCAAGGCCATGTTTACTTCGAATGCCTGCTGAGAAAAAATAATGTTTTGTGGATCCATGAGTTGGGAGAAAAGACAACAATCCCAAAGTAGATAAATAAGACCTCCTTGAACAATGTCATCAAGTCCATGGAGATACACTCTTAACAAATACAGACCCTGTAACTTGACCCTTAAGATCATCATGGATCACTGGACATACCTGTGCCATTGTGTCATAGTGGCGCAGGTATCTATGAATGGTGTACCTGTTCTGTAGGTTGAAAAAACACTTTATATTATACATGGGGTGTTGGAAATTTTTTTTCTCCTTGGTATACAGATTTGCAAATCCAAATTTTCTTGGTTTCACTTCAGCTGCCATGTGGAATTTAGAATATTGTAAATATTATAATATTAATATTGATATATTGTAATAATATGTGATATTATTACTAAATAGTTTATTTATTACCTACGCCAAGAAGGTTATGTTTTCAGTAGTGTTTGTCCGTTCAGACTAGGTTTTTCAGCAGAAAAACCCTTACCAAACTACCTCGCGAGGTGGTTTTTAAAAAATTGGATTTAAACCCTTAAAAACAACCGTTTAATTTGCGTTCACACTAGGCTAAATAAAAAACGCTTTTTGAAAAACCGGTTGAAACCGGTAAATATATTCTGGTATGAACGGGGTCTAGACTCTACCAGACCAACTACGTTGGCTATATATATATAGGAGACTATTTCCCAGGGGAGTTTGGCCGCCTTAAGGGTTTGACTTCGGAGGCAAAGATATTACCCATCTTCCGCGGTCGGACTCCCCTGGCCAATTTTACTCTCCTTTTTGCCAAATTCTATGATCCATAGTCCCATAGAAAGGGGAGTGGAGGCTTAGTGGAGAGAAGTGTTGCTTTTTTATGTTTTATTTTGCATTTGTATGTTTTTATGAGGTGGGCGGGGCTATATATATATGGGATTGGTCTATTGTAAGAAGTGTCCTTGAGATATGCATTACTTGCAGTTATTTATATTATGACCCCCTATATATAATACTAATAGTACTAATAGTGAGTGAGTGAGTAGGTAAACAGTGTTACGTACAATAAGGATTAACTGAACAAAATTTGTGTATATATGTGTTAAATTATGCCTACCTAATCCCTGTGTTTCCATTTAGTCAAGATTAGTATATAATATATACTAATCTAGTATATTTAGTATATAATATTACTATAATATATATATAATAATACTAATCTTGACTAAATGGAAACACAGGGATTAGGTAGGCATATTTTAACACATACACAATATATATATATAGTACATACTTTGTATTAGTTTGCTGGAACTAGTTCCAGCCTTGTAAAAATGTTTAGGTTCAAGTGAAAATAAAAACTGAATGTATGGACCAGTTCTGGACTTACAAAAAAAATCATGTCACATTCCCCTTTTTCTTCTATTTTTCTAAAATCTTTAATGCTAAGAAATTAATGCGCTGCAAAATGAAGACAACATTATGCCATCGGGCATCCTCAAGTGTTGGCCTCTGTAAATTATGTGGCCACAGTTTTACCCAGACGTGCCCCGCAAACTGTATTTAACAACTTATCTTGCTTCTAAACCCTGTTAGTGCAGTGCTCGCTACAAAATCTTGTGGTAAAGATCCCCCATTTTCCACTGGGAAATGTTCACTGAGAAGTCCCTTCCATATTTTGGACCTGGACCTGAACATGGGTTTAGGTAGTACACTGTCACAGTACTTAGTCAATATACAGCAAAAGTCCCAAGGTATATTGCCCTGTTGTATTTAACCTAGCAGGCATTACGGGGTCCTATTTCATTCTGTGTGCTTGCCAGGTGTGGCAATGGAACAATGCACAGGTGAGAGGGTAAAGTTCAGGGTTGATGTATTAAGTTGCCTGGGGGTGTATGGTTACCTTTGTATTTGTTTGCACATGAAAGAAGTCTAGACACCCGGACCCAGCTCAGTTTACCAGCCTGTGGAAGAACAGTCAAGTTTTCCTGACTTGTGAGTGCAGTTTTATTTGTAGGAGAATGAAGTTTAACCTTCGTTTAGACTTGGCAGCAGTGAGCTACATAATGTTGATGTAAGTTGCCCTCAAAATGGGAGTAGTTCACCTGTGGGTAGACTTGTAGGAAAACCTGTTTGTCATGTATGCTGTGTTGATGTTAGCACACTCCCACATGCTCACACTATCTAGTTTCTCCCGCACAAGTCTTACTTGAGCTAAGTTGTAGGAGAATAGAAT